TCACTATCAAAATATTAAGAGAATATTTTTAAAACCTTATAACTTAATCTATCTAATCAAACACATTTAATGCAAACTTAGAGCAATTTTAAATTAACAATCCTTCAAAAAGAGAAATTAGAAAGTTACAAAATCCGTCATTAGTCTATACAAATCACAACCTATTCTATATATTTCTGCATTTGAAAATCATCGGAAACCTATACCAATGACAATCAATTATATTTTGTTTATGCCATAGAACAAGCTAAAATTACCAACTGATAAGAGGGAGAAAAATAATTCCCAACTTCTTCAAAAACAGCACAACCAATCGTATTTTGTTTCTTGCAACAAATCAACCAAACAATTCCCAAACAAAAGTGATCAATCCACTCATCAATCTGTTTCCTTAAACAAACTTTAACTCAAGTCAGCGTTCTTCAGCTGGTGAATGATCTTTTCAAGTATATATTTTGTCTTTGTGTGCTGCATCATATCTTCCAGAATCCTGTCCTCAATCTCCGGCATCTGCTGCTTTGATATATATATCCTTCTTGTTCGAAGACGAGCAGAAGACAAATTCTGATAGGTCGCGTGCAGATCCTCTTTCATCCGATCCAAGGGCGGAATATACTGGCTGAAGATGAGCACTTTTTCATTCAGCATCATAATGAGGTGGACAAACTCGAGGATGAATTTTATTTTGACCCTTCGCCAGGAATGACCTTTGACGCCTCTACTGCTTGCATATCAATTCGATTGGTTGGTGTTAGAAATATTTGGGGAAAATAATGAAATTGTGTTATTGATCATCAAAACAAGGACCTATATATAGGCAATACAAACTGGACTTGATAGACTCAATCTAAGTAATCTAATATATGGATAACACCAAATTTAAATATAAATCTACTAAATCTAAAATCGAATATCTAAAATATCTCAACATCTCCCCTCTAACTCAAGTGGTATAATATAAACCAACTTGAGTTTGATAAGAAAGTTGAATATAGATGCAAAAAACGCAAATAAAAATAACAATTAACTCTCCACCGGAGCCAAAAACGATATGACTCTCCACCGGAGCCGAAAACAGTTGACTATTCACCAGAGACGAAAACAGTTGACTCTCTGCAAGAACCGAAAACAGTTGACTCTCTATCGGAACCGAAAACGACATAACTCTCTACCGGAGCCGAAATGACATGGCTCTCTACCGGAGCCGAAACGACATGACTCTCCACCGGAGCCGAAAACAGTTGACTCTTTATGAGAGTCGAAAATGACATGACTTTCTACTGGAATTGAAAATGACATGACTCTCCACCATAGCCGAAAACATATAGATCAAAAACAGACAAGCTGCGGACATATAGAAGTTGGCAGACATAACGCAAGCAACAGACTAACAACGGACATATAGCAAATAGGAGATAGATTTTAGGTCGCACGTAGGCAACGGATGGTATAATCTCAAGATAGATTTCAAATCGGACACAGACAAGACAGCGGATAGATGGCAGATAACAGATAGATTTCAGATCTAATGCGGACAACGGACAGATGGCAGATAGCATGATCTCAAAATCATAATCCGGTAGAATGTACCCGAAGAAACACGGGTTGGTAGGTTATATCTACGGCAAGAGAAAAATAGACTCTGATACCATATTCGAAATTTTTGGGGAAACATAATGAAAATGCCTTATTGATCATAGAAATAAGGGGACTATATAAAATGGGATAGACTCAAACCTAAGTAATCTAATATATGAATAAGACCAAATTTAAATATAAATATACTAAGGGTGTGTTTGTTTGGGGGTTTGGATTTTGAGTTGGGATTTGAACAGTAAAAATTTTGAATTTGAATAGTTGTATGATGTGATATAAATAGGTGTTGATGTGATATTTTGAATGTAAAATTAATTTTTAGTATAATATAAAAAATGAAAAATAGGTGTTTGATTTGATATGGGGGGGAAAAAAATTGGATGAATAGTAAAAATCTAATTAAATCCCCCAAACAAACACACCCTAAATATAAAATTGAATATCTAAAATATCTCAAGAGTGGACACTTGAATACTTGTATTTTTGGGTGAGGTAAGGATGAACAGATACGAAAGAAAATCCAAATTCACTCTTAACCTTCCCCTTCCAACCTGTAGATTAGTTTCTTGTCGGTTTTAGGAGGATGACAGAGTCTCTCAATCCGGGGAGATTCTTTTGTAGGACTATTCCCTTGTGCACATGCACAAACGGTGACATAGAGACTTTAAGCCTCTGCACTGCACGGTTGATTACTTCAGGAAGCAACGATAGCTTTGGGCTTTCCTATCTGAATGCAGAATTTCACCAAATGTCCAATCCTGCGTAATTGTTTCTGCCACTGTTGGCCTTAAGATCTTCAGGGTGTTGAACAGCTCTTCGAAGTTGTTTTGGAATGGCGTCCGGGAAAATATGGCACGCTTTTCTGTCTTGAGCTGAACTAGTGAAGTCCAAATCTTACTCCTGTGCTTACGAGAAGTATGGCCTTCATCAAGAATCATTAGTCTAGGTATCATAAGAAGTGTCCTCCTCGCCTACAGTTGCTTCATCCATGTGCTTTGGCGCCGTTAACTTCTAGAAAAGATTGTAGCTAATCCTCAAAAGGCATCCCCCTTTCTTCCACGAATATATTTTGACCATGCGGATAGCCTCCATACCCCGGCATCTGATCCACGCCCCTCTAAAGAGATGGTCAGCAGCCGCACTCTCGTCGCCGATGAACGCCAGATTGTTCAGATTCTGGAAATGAAACTCACAGAACTCTACTTCCCAGGTACAAAGTATGTTGGCTGGGATGATGATCATGGGAAGGCAATATGGAAACATCTTTAGATACGTCTCAAGGAATACAAATTGTCAGACGTGTCTTTCAGATCCCTGGTGCAGGAGAAATAATGCATCCGCCCAGCCTAGGTAGATTTGAGTTCTTTAACTAGGCAATATTAGTACTGCCTGCCAAGTTCTTCCAGAGGAACTCAAATCCTTCTCGCTGGTGTTCGTACAGAGATTCTCGTACACCAGCCTTGATGCTCCAAATAGAACCGCTAGTCATATAAATAGGGGTAGCTGCACAAATTTTAAATCAACCTGAAATTGCACTGACCTATTTTCGGATAACATAGTAGTGCAGAATTAGGAAGAAAAGATATATTAAAAGGAACAGTTTTGATGTTACCAACAGTTGGATGATTTTCTGATTTTAGTTCTTCAAAGGAAGCAATCGATATATACTTACCCACGGAGGAAGTACATCCTTTGGATGATTCGCCACATGTTGACAACAGATACAATACAGTCCTTCTAATGTCAATTCATGAAGCCCTTGAGCACATCTACGCTCCTGAATGTCTACCTCCTCCCCTCCTCTTGCACATAAACAGCCTGCAAGCCACCTTAGTTATCATATTGCTTTCTGAATAATAATAATAATAATAATAATAATAATAATAATAATTGTGCTGAATTAATCCTCAATCCGTGTTGAATCATTTATTCTCTATTGAAAGTAATTGACTTACCTCACGGCAGGTAATCTTTTCCATTTCTTCCATAGCGCAGTTAAAGTTTAACTCATTAATCGAATCGTCCACCTCCTTCATCAACTCAATTTTTCTCTGCTCCTCGTCTGTCAGTGGCACGACATCATCCTCAAAACTGAACTTCTTCGGAAGTGCAGTACTTTTCAGCTTCGATGGTATGCATTGTCCCAGACGGTTGTCCGAGAATGGATTCTTCCAGAAACATGGAGATGTCAAATCATTTTGGCCTCATCTTCTTCGCTTTGGCCCCTATCATGAATAATCTTTACCTTATCCAACAAAAATAATTAAATCATACTTCGATTTCTATTAGATATCAGAAAGAAGTAGAAATGATGGTAAACAATGAGTTTTTATTATATATAATGATTGGATTTTACCATTTACCAAACAATGTCAAGGGTATGTTTGTTATGCTTTTGAATTACGGTTGCTTGTAAGTATATATAATTTTAAGAAAAAAATATATAGTTATTAAATACTATGTTTGTCTCTTTTTTGGTCTTGTCATTTGTATTATGTTTAATGTTATTATTTTTTGTTTAAACAATAGCTTAATTTGATGTGATTTTGTGAGAAGAAAAACATGTATTTGGATAAAAAAAAATTATGAAAGTTGCATAATAAAAAAGCTTGAGTCAAGACATAGAATGTAGTGTAAATCCAGAAGTTAACTTAATAGTTCCCACCCCTCCGTAAAATTCGGCAAAAAATAAAACACAATCCTATTTCCAACCTTGCACTCAGTCCCAATTCTCATTTGTATGTACATTCACAAGATCATGTAGGGCTGGCAGAATTTGTTCCACACAGCATCGGTAGCTTTGCTTTCTATGGAGTTGAACACTAGTTCTCCCATTTCCTTCCCCCCAAACTAATATCAGAAAAAATTTCAAATAATGCACTGAAATTGCAAGAAAATCACTAAACCATGAAGATTCAATTAGGGATCAAAGATAGAGCAATATGAATAATGTTGTTGGAAAACATAATAGTACAAGAAAACCCTAAACAACTCCAAAAACTAAAGAGACTGCTTTTATTTATGTTATACTTTACAAAATTTGAAGTTATTAAGAAAACTTAGAATTGTAAAATGTAGGACAGCTTTTTGTAATTGATTCAAACACATTTAGGTAACAATTGTTTGTTTAATTTTCATCTAATATATTTCATATACAACCAAATATATAATAAAGCTTATAATATTACTGGCAATCAAGCAGGGCACAACCTCCATGCCATCATCATGTTAATATAAACATAAAATGCCAAATAAAGCAATTTGTAGGTTTTGCTAAACATTATGATCCAGTCCCACAATAATGGAAAAATAGATCGATATAAACATAATATATATATATATATATATAGAGAGAGAGAGAGAGAGAGAGAGAGAGAGATTGTGAAACAGAAATGGTCCGACAATCAGGAGAAGAATTTGTAGGTTTTGCTGAATATTATGATCTGCCTCAGTGCTCCAATGGGGGCCAGAATTGTTAATAGAACACCAACCACAATGCATCCCTGCAAATTAGTAAGCAGTTAGACAGATAAAACAATCTGAATATATATATATATATATGAAAATTCTCAAATCTAGCTTGGATAAACTTATCATGAAATTTATTTGAAGTGTCACACAAAATTTTTTATTCGACACGATTTCCAATATATATAATATAATACTCCATTCTATTCTCTTATCAAAAGTCAACGTTGCAATACAAAATAATCACACTCAAACACTAAACACACACATCCATTTATTCACTTAATTTCACAAAATATTATCCAAAAAATACAATATATAATACACACCTAAAAATAAAAAGTAAACAAAAATGCTTAGAACCTCACTCCCTACAATTTTTTTCAAAATTCTTCGTACCTCACATTAAAAAACACCTAAAACTATAAACACTCAAAACACACTTTTGGTTTATTTTAATAACTAGTTGAATGTCATTATTATTAGAGCTAAAAATAGCTTCGCAATGTGAACTTATTTTACTACTGCACTGTAACTCATGTGAGTACAAGAATTTATTCATATTCTGCCCATACATTCATCCTATTAGTTATCCTAACTTGCTTTGTAGCATCATGAAATCATGAAATCACAGATGATAGTCACGTGATCTCAGAATTTCAACACGAAAAAATGCAAAATATAGTAAGTTATGAGACATAAATATAGTCAAGAAAATATCAATCAACATATATATATATATATATATACATTACCAAAATTAATAATTTTTCGTGTATGTGTAGTATACGAAGAGATTTTCTAGAATTACCCAGTTAGCAAACCAGGACAAGCTAAATCTTCGAGGCTTCTTGAGCGCGAGCCATATAATGCAAGGAAGCTGCAGATAGCAAAGGTCATTATTATTAAATGAAAATATTAATTAGTTCATCAAACAATGTAATGAATCTTTGATTAAGGTTCTTACATAGTATGTTGTTGGAGCGAAGGCAAAACCTCCGAAGAAGCTGAGAAGCCCACCAAAGAAAGGGAATGTGATTGCCAAGAACATTGTCAACACTGGATGGAGCCATTAATCACTTAATGATCAGAATTTGTACAACTTATCGATGAACAATTTGTAATGAAATGTTGATCTCAGTCAAAGATTCTTACCCACATAACTAGTTCGAGTCACCAGGCGAAGCTTCCATGAAGGCTTGAACTTCAAATTCATCAGTAGGTATGATTCGATCATGTCGAACACAGGCATTGCATAGATCTGAAATATATACAGATATAGTGCATACAACTTGTTACAAAAAAAATATATATATTGCACTTTTGGTCCTATACATAATTGTTCAAAAATTAATTTAGATGTTTGATTTTCCACAAACCAATTTTTCTGTCCGAAAACTTGATAGTCACGTAAATCTAACACTCTAATTACTTGTATTTTTTAAATTACTCTTGTCACTTTTCATTTGCATTAACTTTTTCAAAAGTATCATATCAAATGTGAAGTTTTACTATTCCTCAAAATTTCCGTAGCTCCAAACATTCTCCAAAATATATATAAACAAAACCTAAATTTTTCAAAAATAAAATAAAATCATGACATAAATAACAAAATCCCATCCTACAAAATCAAAGGAAAAAAAAACAATAATTATCAAGCATATACACATAAACAAAACTATAGGTTGAGTTAATTCGGATGCAATTTGGAGTTTTAAATTAGTTTGAAAAATAGTATAACTATAATAGAAAATACGATTTGCTGTGATGCAAATATGCACTAGATGGAATATTTTGAATAAAAAAATAAGTTTTTGATACAATATTTTAAATGAAAAATATATATTCGAATGAAATGTATTTTATAATTTATAATTTCTTTAGAATAATATACTTGAATTAGATCTAAAAATTTTGTGAAGTCGTACCTGATAACTCCCAATAACATGGATCACGACGAATGCATTAGCTGCAATGATAATCCATTCAGGTTTTTGCAACGACACGAGGATATTATCTTCGACACTGTTCCCAAATACGTAGTAGCCAATAAAGGCGACGGGGAAATAGCAAAGGGCGACAACAATGTAGGCGACGATGACACCTTTCCACATGGGCCCTTTGGACGGCTTCCCCAGAGTGGAAGGGATACCGGCCTGGATTTCAAGAACGACATTGTGGCCAGCAAAAGCAAATGCGACGTCTCCCAATGCACTCAGAAATCCGAACAAACGCCCGGCACCGGTAGACGACCGGGGAGCATAGCTCACTTCAGGGGCAACCCCTTTGTGAACAGTAGCTCCCCAGGCTATGGTGGAATAGCTGCACATTCAAGTTAACTATGAACTTAGAATTGAAATTAGATGTGATTTTTTAACTTTTTTGAGTTTTGAAAATAGTAAAAAATTGGTATTTGATATGATGATCTGTGAGACAAAAGGGTTTTTGATTGAATGCTTTTGAAAAGGATAGTACGGAATTTTCAAAATTGTAATCTAAAAAAAGGCTAGATAAAGATGAGAAAGATATTATAAATCGACTTTAAATATTAGGAAATTTTTTTTTATGTGGGACTTTTTATTTAAATGTATTGCAAATTAGTTGAGTAAGTAGCTTGGACACCCTTGCTAGCTTTTGTCTTCTAGTACTAAAATTGTCGATCATCTAAGTTTTTTTCATGGCATTATTGAAATTATACCTCTATCGAAATAGATTTTTTGGCATACAAACACAACTATATCAAACTAATTATATATACGGCTGCAACTAGGATACTGATTCATCCTAATCAACATGTAACATATTATGCTTCCTCCGTCCATTTTCTAATGTCCTATTTGATATTTACACCATTTTTAGGCCATTAGGGTTTTTGTTATAAAATGACAAATTTGTCTTTAATCTTGTGTATAGAAAATAAAAGAGTAAATAAATGGTAAAAGAGTAAATTTTGTGTATAAAAATAAAAAGAGGACAATAATTGTTGGACATTCCAAATAGAAAAATAAGATGTTAGTTTATGAACGGAAAGAGTAATACATTGATGTCGGAATAAAAAAAATTATACGTAAAACAATTGATTAATCTATATAATACGTATTGTATTAATTGTAGTCATATGTGGTATATAAGATTACTATATGCTGAGTGGGATTAGTTAGAATACTAATTAACCCTAGTAAGGACAAATGCATAAACACTTTTTTACCATTGCATAGTAATAACTTACAAGAAACCAAGCACAATTCTACTTATTATCCCCTAGTAAAAATATTAGTACTTTCTTTCTATTTAATCTTTTGATTTTATTTCTAATTTAAGATGTCTTGAAACTTTTTCTAACTCTTATCTATTTAGATTAGCTTGTTACTCATTCCCTCTTCCAAATTTATTTTCACTTTCTTTTTTGGTTATCATCCAAATTTATTCGTATTTCCGTTTTTAGTAACAAAATACCATCTTTTCTATCTTTTTCTATTTTTTCTTTATCCAAAAAAATAAAAAATTTTATTTTTACCTATTTTCCTCAAAATCTGTAACCGGTCAAATGAGCACACAATTGGATGACGGATGGAGTATCTTTTATCCTTTCATAAACTCAATTTAAATAAAATATATATATGGTCAAAATTGTCAGAATAAAAAATATTGAGATGATATAACATACCTCAAGGACATGATGGCGGCGGCAAGAGAGACTCCGGCGACAGAGTCGAGGTTTGGAAGGTGAGAGAGGACGAGATGGAGGGCGCCGAACATGATGGTGAAGTAGGAGAGACGGATTTCTTGGTCGGGCTTCGCAATGTCGTGGATCTTCTTGAGGGACTTGCCGCCGGTGACCATGTACACAATGTTGACCCCGACCTCCACCATTAGCTGCTGCGGCACCACGATCCACAGCCCCAACTTCTCCCCAAACGCCGCCTGCCCGAGCTCGTGGTAGCGGTCGAGCCGCCTGCCCGGAATCATCTCGTGCATCTCCACCATTTGCCACAGGGTGTAGAGTGTGATCGCCCATGACAGTAACATTATTGCAATTCCAGGACCCCTAATATTGAATTGAAAGAGAAAAAGGATTAAAATTGTTGACACAAAGAACCATGAGAAAATACACTTGCAAATAGTAATAAATATAGATGTCCATCCGCCCCATTTGAAAGGATTTTTTTTTTTTTTTTATTAAAAATAATCATATTTATTGATTAGTAAAAATATGTAAAATAATTTAATATACACTGTATAAATAAAATAATGATATTTTTGTAATTTATGTAAAAATAAAGATATTTTACAAAATATTTTTACTATATTAGATAAATGAATAATTTTGAATTGGATAAATAAAAATAATAGTACTCTGAATGGACGCTGATTTTGTCAAATTTGTACATAATTAAGACTGATAATCCATGTTCTATACAGCAATAGCACATACAAAGACATAAAATGCATATTCTATATGAGTGTGCTGATCTCATCAATAATTATAATAATAATAATAATATATAATTACTTTATAGTATACGTTGATCTAGTTAAATCAGCATTACTTTGACTTGGCCAAATCTGCATAAAATCTATCTATAGTCGAATTCAAATATACCGGTGTGTTTTTTTTGATTGAGTTTGGGAAAATTTGGTTTAGATTTGATATTAAAATAATATTTGATGGGATGTTCTGTATTTTATCCGGTGTGCACTTTCGGGTAGCGGCTGCATGTTCCAACGTCACCAAAAACAATATTTATATATATAAGAATTGTATCTTTTTTCTTGATACAAAATTTGAACAAAAGCATAGATGATGATCGCTTTTTCCATGGAAATTGTGGTCTTATATACAAATTATCAAATACATTTTTTTTTCTAGCTCTTAGACCTTAATCTTCATTGGTTATTTCTGTCACATAACAAAGATTCCCCAATATCTATCTATCAGAAATTTTATCTCATCTCCGTATCATATTAACAACAAAATTACAAGTATATCGATATTAGTAACTAAAAATATTTAAAACAACCATAATCAAATCTAAAAATATTACTTTGATTTATTTTTATTTAATTATATATTTTGGTATATATATTCTGAATTTTTTTCAGATATATATAATTCGAAAAACAAACCAAACCAGAATAAAGCAAATACAAAATAATTACAAAACCACAAAAGCGAAGTAGAGAAAAGATGGAAGAAGAAAGCAAATTATATTAAAGATATAGATATAGATTATATATATATATATGTATGTACCATCCAAGTTCAGACATGGCGTAAGGGAGGCTGAGAACTCCAGCACCAACCATGGCAGTAACATTGTGAAACGTAGAGTACCACCACTTGGATTTCCTCGAAGACGTTATCGGAAGCCACTTACTCAAATCCTCCGTCTCCTTCTCCGCCGCCGCCGCCGCCTGATTTTCCGGCGCCATAAATTCCGATCGCAGATTCTTCTCCAAGACGAAGACTGATCAGGATTCTTGTTTCCTGAACTTGATCTAAGGTATTAACGGTGTGTATGTATGTATATATATATATATATATATTACTCTTCACGGGTCTAGGGCAAAACCTAAAACTATTGCTATGCAGTCCTTTATATTTTTTATATATACAAAAGTAGTTAAATAATTCATACTTTCTTCCGGTCACATAAAATTATACTTTCTCCATCCCCTTCTAATTATTACATTTACTTTTTTACGGAATTGTATTTAACAATATCCTTATATTCCTTCTATTAATATTATAAAACTATTATGTTTTAATATAATAATAAATATTTAAATATCAATACTAAAAAAATAAATGAAACTTTAGAGTCATACAAACGTAGTACTTATTTGACTATACAAATTTTTAAAAAAATAGTAAAAAAAAACAAAAAATCTTTTATGTAAAAAAATACTCTCTCCGTCCACTTACAATATTTACATTTATTTTTGGCGCGGTGTTTAAACGGAGGGAGTAGTATTCTTTTACTAAAATAAGAAATATAACAAATTTGGATGACAAGAAAGAATAAATTTAAATGACAGAGACAATAATATTTAAAATTTAACTCATTTACATATATGTAATAAGTAATAATAAATAGTTTGTTTGGATGATTTGTTTGATTTCTACAGTTCTCAAATTATTTTTCTAAAATATCTAATTAAATATTTATTTTTAATTTTTAGATTATATTAAAAATTTATTCTATATTTAAAACATCTCCTTTACTTCTATTTATATTATCTCAAATAAAAATTCAAATTAAAACTCCCAAACAAATAGGCTCTCCAAATTTAGAGGATATATATATTTCAAAAGGTGTTGAGGAATTATTTAATCTAAATATATTATTTTAAAATTAATTATATTTGAATTCAATATAAATATTTTTTTATGAGAAAACTAATTAATAAATAAAAATGCAATTTGAACTCGTTTTACATGATTAAGTAATAGTATTAAATAAGTCATGAAAATTGGAAATATTTTTTAAATAAGTAAGTGTATAAATTTCATTTCATATTTTTTTGGTCAATTAGGATCTGTCCAATTAAGTTTATTATATTAATTTTGGTTCAAATTAAATTAAAGTTACCATCTATGGTTATTTTTTTGCAACTACACTTAAATTTCTGTAATTACAAAACTATTAATATTCATTAATTAGAAAGAAAATATCTAAAGAAATATTATCTCTTTCTCATACAAAATATCTATTTTTTTTCTTTTTTTTCTACATAATTTGTATTTTTTCTTTATTAAAATATATTGTACATTGTAATTTTATTTTAAATTTTATTATTTATCATTTTAATTAAATTAAAATATTTAATTATTTTAATTTTAATTTATAATTATTTATATTATATAATAATTATTTTAATTTTTTAATTATTTACTAATTATAATTCTCTTAAGCTTTTATATCTAACACTTTTATTTGGATTGCGAGAATATATAAGTAAGAAAAAGAAGAAAAACAAAGAAACAAAAGCATCAAAATATTAAATATACTTAATTTTTTTATATAATATTAAATCAATAATATTTTTTTATTTTTAGTAATGATAAAATATTTAAACATAATACTCTCTCCGGGTCACGATCCTTTTCATTAGGGATATTATACTTTAGTTTGTATAAATGAGTAAGTTATTAATAATAAATTATAATATTATTTCATTATTTTTTATATGAGTGGAGTTGTTGATATTTTAAATATTTTTAATATTATTTCTTAATAAAATACATATAATATGAATATTATTTTATAAATAATAAATTTTATATTTTATCCGCCTCAATTCAAAGTATATTTTTACCATTTTTGTCGGTTTTACTCAAAAGTATCTTTCTAGATTTTTATAAAAGTAATCAAACACTAATACCAAAATTCGTCTTACTTTTATTTAAATTACAAATACTCTATTACACATGCAATTACTTTTCACGTAAAGTCAAAAGACAAAAATGTCAAAATCTTATATAATTTTACTAACTAATAAAATATTATTGTTTTTTTATTTAGTTTAAAAACTCCAAAGAATTCTTTTCAAATGCTACAGAAGAAGTATAATAAAATAAATAAAAATTGTATATATTTATTTATAATTAATTTAAAAGTAATTTTATAAAATTAAGTTTTAATATTGATAAAATATTTGTTTATCGGGAAGAGAGATAAAAATAAAGAATTTTGAAGGAGTCATATGTGTAGGAGATTAGAAATTTAATTAAATTGATTTATATTTGTTAAATATATTTAAAATGAATAAATTTAATAAAAATATAAATAAATTATGTTTTATCAAATGGAAAAAAAAAAAGAAAAAATGATCATATTTGGCGAAAAGGTATGAGTAATTTTTTTATTATAATTGGATATTATATATATAATAATAATAATAATTACTTGTACGTCGGCTTTTTTATGTAGTACAAATAAAAATATATATATTTTTTTGTTAGTGATTTATACTACAAATACAATACATTTGTAAAGATATTTTCGATGGTAAGTATAATAATACAAAAAACAAGGATCATTACTAATATATTACTCTGTTCGTCCAATTTTTTTTGTCCTAAAGTATATTTGCACGATTTTTTAGGTGATTGTCTTTTTGTTATGAATTGACAAATTTGTCCTTAATTGTATGGTAGAGATTAAAAGTAATAAATGAATGAAAGGTAAAAATATAAAATTTGTATTTTAAAAAAAAAATGGCAATAGTTGTTCAAACGTCCCAAATAAAAAAGTAACACATTAGTTTGTGGACAGAGTATAATTTAAGTTGATAGTAATTAATACCGGTAGTTCACATTCTCTCGGTCGTCTAGATCTTCTAGAATTAATTAACTTTTTTTCGGACACATAGTTAATTAAATCATTTTAAGTATTTTTATTTAATAAAATATTGAAATAAAAGTTAAAATATTTTTATTTTAATTTTTAATATTAAATATTTTATAAAAAAATTTATTTTGTAAAAAAAATTATAAAATAAATTAATTAATTAATTAACATTACTAATTTAAATGCAATTAATACGAGAAATAATAATAATAATAATAATAATAATAATAATAATAATAATAATAATAATAATAAAGCAATACATCAAATTCCTAAATTTGGTTATAGATAGGGATAGTTGATTATGACATCAAAATTTACTCCGCATATCGAATATTGTACCAAAATTTTTTATATGGTATTTTACCGTACAAAAACTAATCATATCAATAATTTGGTATATCGAATTTACGGATGAAAAAATAACAAATTATCGAAATAGCGTATGTATTCTACCAGAAAAAAAAAATTAATATACCAAAAATTTTAATACGATATGATTCGGTACCACCAAATCAATTTATATATTTTTATTTTTTTTGGAAATTTTAGTATACATCAAATTTTCGATACGGTCTCGATATATTTTTTAGCATATCAAAAACTTTCAGTACGGTATATAATATGGTCTGATATTTTCGATATACCGTACCAAACAATCTCTAACTGAATTTCATGTACGATATTATAATATAATATTTTACACTGAAATACCATATTTAAAAATAAATTTATAATTTTGAGAAAACATTAGAAAATTAATAATTTTAATATCAATATACAGAATTATCGGGGTATGTACCAATCTATAAAATGGAGTACTAAAATATCAAATTATATAGTATTTTTGGTACATAATTAATGTACTGAAATATATATATATATATAGTATTGTACCATATCATATATAAAATAAATTTACGATATAAAATAATTTTGATAATTGTGTGAAAAAAGTGCATAAATAGTGAATGGGCATCTATTATGGTTAGAGTTGTTAACGATCCGATCCGAGTCGAGTCGAGTCAAATTTTAAGTGTTCGTTAACGTTCGCGAACAAGACTCGTGTTTGTTCGTTAAACTTTTGAGCTCGTTCGTAGTGTTCGAGCTCGGCTCGTTAAGAATTTTTGTTGTTTGAGCTCGTGTTCGTGTTCGACTTATTTAGGCTCGATTAAGCTCATTCGAGGTCGTTCGTTTTATTTTTTAAAATTTATATATAAATTATAAAGAAAAATTAAAATTATTTTTATTTATATATTTTAGATTAATATTTTATTTATTTATAAATTATAATTTTATATGTATATATAATATTTATAATAAATATATTATCTAAATGAATGTTCACGAACAAATTTTGGGCTCGTTCGTTAACCAAACGAACTTGTTTATGTTGATTGGTTCAGCTCGTTAACGTTCGCAAACGAGCTTTAACCGAGTCGAATCGAGCCAAACCGAACCGAGTTCACAAACGACTCGGTTCGTCTAACAGCTCTGCTAACTATGGCAAATGTGGTGGAAAAGTGCATAAATAAGTCATGGCTGCTGCGGTAGCTGCACATAATTTGTGCAATAAATGAGAAATAGCGGAGCTATGTCTATGTTATTTAGGGTGTGGTTCCTTTGAGTTCGATTTGATAAGATTTGGTTTGATTTTCGATTGAATTTGAATTTTTTTAAATATATATATATATATATATATATATATTAGAAGATATGTTTTTTTGGTTAGTAGATTTTATTTGGATCCGAGGATTTTGATATGTATTGATTTGATAGTTAACAAATATAATGATATAAATGTGTATTAAATTATGTTTATGAAATTAATAATTATGTGATTTGAATATTAATTTATGTTAATTATAGATGAATATTTAATTTTATTTAAATTTACTTGTATCATACTCTTTCCGTCGACAAACTAATGTCCTACTTTCCTATTTGGAACTTTAAAAAATGATTGTCGTCTTTCTATTTTTATACATAAAATTTACCTTTTTACCCTTACTTTATTTATCTTTCTTATATCTATATACAAAATAAAGGGCTATTTTGTCAATTTACAATAAAAAAAAAACTAATTATCTAAAAAAATATGTAAATATCACTTAGACATTAGAAAATAGACAGAGGGGGTATAAAATTTGTAATCTCTATAAAATGGTATATATCATATATATATATATATATACTCCCTCCGTCCCGCAAGAAGGTTGTGATGACTTTTTTGCATGTTAATTTTTTAATATTAATGATTATATCAATACACCGTAGAAATCAAAAAGAAAAAGCAAAAATATGTGTATTAGTCTCTTATAATACAAATACAATGATATTTTTCGAGTAAATTATTCAAATATAAGAATATTTTTAATGTTAAGTACAATGACGCAAAAACCAAATGGCAACCTAATTGCCGGGACGGATGGAGTATATATTTTACTAAATTACCCTAGTTGTTCAAATAATTAAACGGTTAATTCATTGTTTAAGAATAATAATTATCTATTTTGAAAAAGTTAATAGCTACTTACGTAGGCTTCAGATTTTATCTCATGAGAGGAATTTACCACTCAATTTTCCTTCAATTGTAATGACATAGTAAGTTTCGATTAACTTTAGGGCTTTCTAAAAATAGAAATACCTTTTGAAATTAGAAAGTATTTTTTTCATAATCATTTTGGGGTAACTTTTGAAATAAATATAAATATTTTTTCGTTAAAATAATTGTTTTAATAATAATAATAATAATAATATAAAATTTATATTTTAATATTTTAATTAAAATTTTAAAAGATATTGAATTATTATTTTATTTTATATATTATACTTAGATTCAAATTTAAAATTATAATTTAAATATCAAAATTAAAAATATAGAATTTAAATTATAAAATTTTAAAATTATTAAATATAACTTATAATAAATTTATAATAAATTATAAAAATACAAATAATTGAACATTAATTTAATTTTATTGTTAATTTATATATTATTCTTAAATTAAAATTTTAGAATATAAGTTATCATATATAACAATATATATTTTTTATAATATATAATTTTAAATTTTTAAATAGAATTAATAAATTTTAAAATAAATTATAATTTTTTTATAGAAAAAATATAATTATATTAACAACATATCATGTTTAGTAATTTTCATAGTTTAACCTTTTTTCAATTATATAACATTTCATTGTGTTTTTAGTAAAAATGCATAAAATATCATTTATTTTATTTATTGCGTGAATCTCTTTATGTTAATGTAAAATTTGCATAAAACACTTTTTTCATTCAAAATTGATATTTTAATATGAATCCAATAATGTAAATTCTATACAAATAAAAGATATAAAATATCTTATTTAAGTTTTTTAATAAAATAAATAAATAAATAATTGATTAATTCTTCATTATCTAGTTTTTTCGAAAAAATTTATTATCTGATTTTTTACCAAAATTAGAAAATAATAATAATAAATGATTGATCCGTTATTTATTCATTTATTTTATTCGAAAAAATTATTTAAAATTTTTTACGTATAGTATTGGTATAAAAATTAAGTAATTTAAGTTAGAAACAAATAGGAGCTTTGGACAAAGAAGGTTTTTGTCACTTTAAATTAAGATAAAGAATTTTACGCAATAAACGAAACAAAATATTTTGTATATTTTTACTAAAATATAAGAGAGAGTTATATAATTTACCAAATTAATTATGGTGTATTTGTTCGGATTTTATTATTACTTTTGGATAATGTTTAGGGTTTGTTTGGATTTTATTAATGCTATTATTATTATTATTATTATTATTATTATTATTATTATTATATAAACTTAAAATAGGCCCAAACATTTTGGGCTGGGCTGGGCCAGTTGAAAATATATGCCAAGCCCAAACTAGTAAATTTTTAGCCGAGCCCAGCCAAATTGTTACAATTTTATATAATTTTAAAATATATTAACAATTATATAGTATGATAAAAATTATTTCTCCAAATAAAAATTATGTAGTATTTTGTATAATTTTATATATTATCTCCTCTCTTAAAGTTTGTATTCAAAACTCATTGACACGGATTTTATTGTATAAGATTTTAATTGATTTTTTTTATAGTAAAAAAATATAAAAATAATAATATATTTGTTTATTAAATAAAAAAAAAGTTTTTCTTTAAGAGGAAAAACAGAGAAAAATAAGCACAATTGTAAGAAACAGAGGAATATACAATAGTGTAAAAATAAACATATTCTTCTCAAATTTTATTGTTCGTTTTAGCTAAGGCTGACAATGGGTAGATTCGTGTCGGGTTGAATACTTTAAATGGATTAAATTACTCATTTTAACTCGATCCATTCATTATCGTATCGGGTTCAGGTTGACCAGTTTATTATCGTGTCAGGTTCGGGTTGACTCGTGTTGACCCTTATACATAATTAAGTCGAATTTCTTGATTTAAATTAAATAATTTTTTGTTGTATTTTCGTGTTATGTTAGTTTTTATTGTTTTGAACATAAATTATGTTGAATTATTTAAAATTGAACTTAGTTTAAATTAATTTATGAAGAAATTATTAAATTATGATTATTTTCCATATATATAATGAATATATTAATATATTTTATAATCGGGTTGTCGTGTCGAGTTCGAGTTGAAAGCCTCAACCCTAACCCGGCCCGTTTACTATCGTGTCGGGTTCGTGTCAACCCGTATACATAATCGGGTTGAAATCTTTGACCCAAATTCAATTATTTCGTGTCGAGATGGATCAATTTTTGCCGGCTCTAGTTTTACCTGGGTGTCCAACTTTCATAAAGATCGAATTTCTTTGGTGGACTTAGTATAGAGAAATGAACGTTAAAAAAAAAAAAAAAAAAAAAAAAAAAAAAAAAAAAAAAAAAAAAAGGAAAGAAAGAAAAAATTACTATATTAGTCAAACTTGAAAAATAATATGCCCTCATGGCCTAGAAAGTATCATTTGTTCTGTGCACATATAATTTAGAATATTAATATTATATTAATATATAGTAAAATAAAAATAAAAAAATAAAAAATCGTATTTAATATTGTGTGATATAAAAGTAATGATACTTGTGTCTATATCGAAAATTATAAAGATATTTATTGTATTCGACAATACAATTACTAAATTAAAAATACGTAACTTTGTTTTAAAATAACGAAAATAAAAAAATAATACCATTCTTACAGGATAGAGAGAATAATTTTTTATTATTATTTTTTTTTTCTCTCCAATGAAGAGAAAAATAATACTACATTCGTCCAAAAAGAAATATATTACTGGAAGTGGCACCAGATTTAAAAAATAATAATATTAAATTAAAAAAAACAATATAAAATAAAATATAAATGATCAAATTATATTTGCTCTACTAAGAGTTTAAAAAAAATAAATTTAAGTAATAATTATGAATAATTTTGAAAAAATAGATATAATTATTTTTATTTTTTTTTTATCACCCCTTTTATTTTCTGTTAACAACAACTATGTGGCCTTTGGACTTCATTGAACTGAACTCTCTCGTGTTTCTTTCGTTATCTCTTTCTTTTTTTCTAACAAAACATCGAATGGCCTAAAATAAAAGAAAGTGTGACACAAAATTATAAAATGAGCAATAATTAGGGAGAAGAAAAGAAATAAAAGAAAGTGTGGGACAAAACTATAAAAGGAGTAATTAAGGAGGAAGAGAAAACTGACCACGGCAACAACCACAAATTCAGTCCATTTTATTCCCTTTTTCTCTACATATTTTCATTTTTTTTTTGCCTTATTTGAATTCCTGTTGCTAAATCATATCAATTTCTTTTCATCTGTTCAAATTACGCTAATTCCTTTCGTCATTATTTCTATGCTCAATTCCTGCATATTTTTATACCAATTGATTTTTGCACGAGATTTAGCCCGGATACTAGCAAATTTTTATACCAATTGATTTTTGCGCGGGATTTAGCCCAGATACTATCTTGAGTAGGCCAGGGAACCCAATTCTAATCGATTTCGACGGGCCTAAATCCGTTGGGCCGTCATCGACAAATTTCAGCAATAATAGGAGTAAAGCTTGGAAGGTCCGGTAAATTGATATTTACGCAGCAACAAGCAAGAACGACTCGACGAAATATCAAGCACAAGAATAGCAGCAAGCAATAGAATCACTTTTCTACAAAGACATTAGTTACCTTAAGAGGTAGAAATGAATGGAACAGATGTACAGCAGCATGAAACACGTCTTTACTTCAGCAATCCGCCGCTTGTCTTTAACAGCCCTGAAAGGACCGTTGGCTCATGAATTACATTGATGCAGAGCGTCAAACAGAATATCGTTCTGCAAATAAGGAAAAAATGAATGAGAAAAAATTACAAAAGGCATTTTAAATGGTGTGGAAATTGTGAAATATTATGAGATTATAAAGTAAACCTCACACATTGATCAAAATATGATTCATTGATCGCAGTCATATCCGCAGGTACGGGGCATTGAATCCATTTACGGATCTCTGTTACATCCACTGCTTCTGCAGCATTCTGAATACGAACTCATGTCCTCAAATCAAATGACGGTTCAGAAGGTCGTGTCCAGATTGTTGTTCGCCAGGACTTCCTTTTGTCCCAACCAAATTCAGGGAACACTTCAAGGAAAGGAAAACAGAAAGACTCTGCAAATGGCGAGCCTTCTAGAGAACCATCCGGATCATATTTACTCCCACGCAATGGCTGCAACAATAGATCTTTATAGTGAATATGAAGTAGACAATAGATCTTTACAGTACTAAAATCTCATTGAAAGAATCTGGTTATAGCAAGATTAGTGTTCTCAATATTCAACCAAGTATTGTCTTACCTAGGAAGAAGAGGGCATTGACATATGATTCAATATGATCGGTATTGTGAACATAATGAGGATCAAGCAACAGCATGGAAGAGAGCAGCTTTCGACAACAAAATAATGTAGTTTCGTAGGGTCCATCAAATAAGACCCAAGTTGAGGAAATTTCACCACAGATACAAGAAGGAATGAACAGATCAGAACCTATTGCAGGAACGGCACATTCTGACCTCATGCAAGAAAATATTACATCCAAAAAAAGGAAGATAATAACAATATTTGTGTTCTTGGGTATTGAGCAGATCCGATTGCTCGATTAAAGAATGTGAATCCCCAATAAAAATAAGTGGGATAGTAATTTCTTAAATCGGCTAGCAATTCTAATGCTATCGAATAATCTGGTTTTCTCAACCTTCTACTATTTCCAAAGGTCGTTTCTGTAACACACCTGTCTACACAAAAATCATTGTTGCCTATGGAAAGGGGCAAGTTTAAATGATCATTGTCTCCAAGTTGCTCCATCTATGGCGGGCATGCATTCTGAATGATAGGATAATAAGATGCACAGCAATTAGTTTCAGTCAAAACGATACCAAGGAGAAAGCTGGTTGCAACTAGTCGGTGCAGCATCAGAGAAATTACAAAAGAATGTCTAACAGCCAAAAAAATCAAGAAACACAATACTGCAGTAAATATGTATCAAATATTCAAAAATTAAACCAAGCATGTCAAGATTTAGTGAAATGACACAACTGCAAGCAAGGGGAGGGCAAGCAAACTGTAGATATAATATATGGAAAAGCAAAAGGGAGAGAGGAATGGGGCTTACTTAGATATTCGTAGGCGAGTATTATGGATTCCCCCAGGGTGATAGACTGAAAATTTGAGGGCCAAGTCCTTCATAATCCAGCCCACACATCCTCAGGAATCAAAATTTCAACCACTTTTTCCTTGCCATGGGTGTCTTGTCCTGTACAATAACAGGGAGAGTTCATGAAAGAAAAACCACAGTAATTGAAGATAGAGAACTTCAAAGGCATCCGTCGTGACGTTGTCACATTTCTTTGAAGCAAAATACAGCCAAAACCAAAATAGCAGATATAAAAAGCTGAGGACGAGCATAGCATAGATTGGATTGGCCCCTTGTTTACAAGGAATCAGAACTATGCTCCAGGCTAATGATGAGAAAAACAAATTTCACTACAAGGCAGATAATGAAAACTTACATGTAAGCTTGTCGTTTTCTTTTCTTTCTTTTTTTTTTTTTTTTTTTTTTTCTGACAGCTCCTTTGTTTTGTTCGCAAAGATTTTCATGTTGCACAATGCACTGTCAACTTAGTTGAGTAGATGGACGTGTTAAGCACAGCCTAATTTATGATTGGTTTGAAATGGTTCTCCTTGAAGGTGACAATGATGATTTACAGGTAAACTTGTTCAGTATTCAGTGCAACTTTTGAACTTAAGCACGTAGAATTGGACAGAAAGAAAAAGCATTGCAGCTTCCTTTTGACTACCTGAATGGCAAAAAAAAGACTGAAATTTGTTCGCATATTAGCCATTTCTATGATTCTGTAACTGCCTTGATGAGAAAAGCAGTCTCCATTGCTGACTCCTTGCACTGCAAATACCTATTTTCCTCAACTAATTCTGTTGAAAGATTGAGCAGAACTGGACGCTTAGGATCATAAATGGAATACTCCCTCACCCGTGCCACCCATTTTGCTGCTTCCCAGACACCAAACCTGACAACAATGACAAAGGCGTAAGCAATAATGAATACAGGGTAAATACTTCCAACTCTAAGTTCAAAATGGAATTTATCCTCCAAAAATCTGTTTTCAAAGAGTTCTCGAGACTTCCAGTGGACACTATAGGTGAACAAAAATAAACAGCGATCACTCACCTCGTGTTAAAAGATGATGTCACCAGCACAGATGGGTAGACTGCATTTTTCTTTATATTATCATAGGGAGAATATTCACGTATAGCACGAAAATCTTCAATATCCCCAGGATATCCAAACTCTTCATAGTCATCAGGTGTTAAGGGTAAAATGGGTAGCAAGAGGGTGTTAGTTGGATCCAGAAATGGAACCTGAAAAGGAAACAGAGAATAGTTTTAACTTGTCAAAACTGAAGCATTGACGAAGGTTCTCATACCCATTCTTTTTAACAAAATAAAAGCATCATACGAAACCAAGCAGCAAGTGTTTCCATTTCAAACTTAAGTTGGAATAGTCAATTCAAAAGATGTAGAGTTTACCCACTTTCAAAACAGCAGCTCGAAATAGATCTGGGCAAAAGTTAATAGCTGAAGCAACTAACAATCCTCCAGCACTGTATCCCCAGCCTGCCAGCTTGGTTTCTTCGACAACATCTTTTTCAATGAGAAACTTTGCACAAGCTATATAATCTTTAACAGAGTTAAGCTTCTTTCTTTGTCTGCCATCATGACGCCACTTTTTACCACCTCCGCCTCCACCTCTGGAAGAAAAAGTATGTCAGACAGCATATTAATGTTGTTATGGCTATTTAAGGCAATAATATGCATTTGCAAAATCAGTTCTCAGACAGGCAGGATAATGGAATGTTTGGACTGAAGAAAAATTGGAAAAAGCTGCTAAAGTTGCACACATTGATCATTGATGGTATTAAACAATTTTATTTCGTATAAAGGCCTCTGGTAAAACCATAGTGAAGAATGAAGTGATGAGTAACAACCTAACATCGGCATATGCAATGACCCAACCACGATCAAGAAGGCTTTTCAGCTCATTTCGCCACCTTTTGTCAAGTATCTCACCATAAGCTCCGTGGCCATGAAGTAATCCAGGATTTTCACCATTTTTCTTCTTATGTCGTGAATATACTATGGTCAGTGGAATTGAAAGTCCATCATCGGAAGGGACATCAAATTTTTCACAAGCATAATATTCAGATAGATCATTCCATGCAGTTTCATCTTCAATACCACTTCCAGAAATGTTCTGGGATGTTGACGCCTTCTGACTAGTGATCATAGAAGAAGCTGATCCATATAAAATTCTTGTTCTTTCAATTATCAAGTTCTGCTGTTGAACAATTGTCCATTTTTCATTTACTAAATCATAGTCAACTACGGCATCAGGCATCTGAGACAGCAGAAATACAGATAAATGCACATATATATAAGGTATAAGAAATTCTAGCATTTGTCTCAAAAAGTACACTAGAAATGTATGACAAGGTGATATGTAACTATAGATTAAACCATATGTGATAGCATAATAAGCCACTGCAAAACCCCATCTAGAAATATAATAAATCTGGTCAGACCAGCATCATCACAACAGATTGGGAAATTATGGATTTATTCAAACTTAAGCACAAAACAGTTTATAGAAACTTCCCTGGAAAAATTTTAGTTAACATAAAGATCTGTGAACCTGGAATTAGAACATGCCATAAATGCATAATATACTACTTGATACAAATGAATTATTTAACAACCTAGTGAAAGAAAGGAGGAACGAACAATCCACATACCACAGGTGATGTTAATATAAAGCGCATTGTTGAAGAATAGAAGTCATAATTAGATCCCGGAAAGATTTGAGAGACATGATCCGGAAGGGGTAAATTCTGTGGATTGAACATTTTGAGATGAAATCCCATCTGTCAAGTGATATATGGAGGATGAGCAGTTAGTGATATATATATATATATACATATGCTAGTCAGATTAACATGGCTTGTAATTTAATTTTGTATTTCAAGATACTAAGATGAATTACCTTCTCATTACTTAGAGGTAAAGGAATAGAACATAATCTAAAAGTCCGTCCATCCCTCAAAAGAAGTACCATATGAGTGTTACAGAAATCAACATCTTCAATAACTAGCTGTGGATCATTTACAAAAACATTCTGCCAAATAAATCAGAAAACTAGTAAGCATCATCTCCGAGAAACATTGGCAGTATCTAACGATTTTAATCATACACAAGCATCAGATTGATTATAATATAAGCTAACCTCCCAATTCATTGTGCTGCATGATGATGAAACAGGACTGCGTAAAAGATAATGGTGATCTACAGGCTGACCCTGAATAGCAGCATCTGTAAACAGATAGAGATATCCTTGGTGATGCTCAATAACGCAATGAACATTAGCTTCACATTCCCAGACAAGGGTCATTCCAGCCAGAGGATCAGCTGCATTTATTAGAAATACCTAATATTGGGTCACAAATATATAATTCCAGCTCCGGGAAAAATAATAGGTGTGGATGTGGAATATTCTTATATGCATACCTTGGATGATTGGCTTGAAAGTGCATTTACAGTAATGAAATGGAAGTCTTTAGTATGCCTCACATTTAGATGAACATTTTCTTGAGGTTCCTCCAGAAGCAATACATCTTGATCGTTTGATCCAATTATGCTGCAATAGATCCTGTGAAGGCCCAAGTGCCTACTTTATAAATTGGGAAACAACAGAATGAGAGAGAAATATTACCAAGAAATATCAGTACGGCAAACCTGAAGGGTCTCTTTTTATCATCTGTGACTGCATAAACTAATGCTCGCCCGTCTTTAGCCCAAGCTATATTGCAAACCCGGTTAGCTTGGGGCTTACTACAAAGTGACCCAAAATTCAAGTCTCTGACATATAATTTGAAGAAGTCGTTGTCTTTGTCATACAAAGTATATGCAAGATAACGGTGATCAGGAGACACTTCTGAGTGTTCTTCATACACATAACCTAATCATAACATTTAAATCAAATTAACTGCAGGTTATATCAGTGCGAACAGATGAAAGTATAATTCAACAATAGGAGTGGAATACCTCCAAGACTTTCAGCTTCTTGATTGTAATCAAGCAGCTTTTGCTCAATCTTCTTTCCGGATGTGAAATCAAAACCAGAGGACGGAGATTTATTAGAAATGAATTCTTCATGCAAGCTAGCTAATCTTCGACATAACACTGGATATTGTTTTCCTTCTTCAACACGCCTATAGTACAACCTGCACAGTTACCACATCAACTAGGCACTTGACTCCAGGTTTTGACAAAGTATGGCAACAATCAGAGGGAAATTCCTCCCACAAAAATGATAATCCACCAACTTCCAGTTTACCCCACAAATATCTGACATATTGCATTATAGAGTATTTCTGACCGGAAGAAAGTAGAATAAGGTTTTATTCATGGTTTTCAATAGTGTACTAATAGCAATGTAGAGGAACGGAGTGGCAGCCCCACGCTAACACTGCTCTGCGATGCCACTTTTAGGCAATGGCAAAGTAGCAACTTTTAGCTGTGTGGAGCAAAGCAAAGTTCCTTTTTAATTGGAATAAGATATTACTATCTTTACTATAAATAGGTTTAGAATTTACAATATAATGTTATATTTGCAATTTGGTAAATGAAAATTTTATTCAATTACATTATAATATACTATAGCTACTTCTAAATCTAAAAGCGAAAGAATATTGTGTAATGTGATGAGCATATAATGAAAAAAAATTAAAAGGACTAATAAGAAGAGGAAGTATATTATACACACAAAAAAAAAAAAAAAAAAAAAGAGGGAAGAAAATTATTTATCAAATTGTTGATTATCTCTTGTAATTATTTTTGCTTATATAGCTTTATACTTTGTTTGTTTATGATTCAAACAGAAATCTGCATTGTTCAACCCACAACATTTCCAATAAAAATAATTTTATTTTCCCTCACAAAATATCGTATCAAAATACTATTTAAACAAAAAAATCACGTCAACGTCCCATTCTCAATCAATTTCAAACCACCAGACAAACTCTATGATTATATATATATATATATATATCTTAAATTTTTAAGCTATAGGCGATTGGTTTTATTTAAATTCCAAGAAATGAGAACAAACTCTCCAACAATCTGCCATCCAACCAGACAATTTCCTTCTAAATTAATTATGTGTATTCTTCTTGCAGTTGCAATATTATTTATTAAAGTTATCGATTGCATCCAAAGCCATTAGCAATAATTCCGAAATCCATAAATTTCGTATTAGCAAAGAACCATAAACATAAACAAGAAAAAAAAACTCTCAAATGAAAATGAAGATAAATCAGAAAAGAATATAATAAATTACCAAGGACCCCAGCGGAAGGGAGGGGTGGACAGCTCGGCGGCGAGGCGAGGGGCCATTTCCGATTGGAGTTTGGACTGGAGGCGCTCGGTATCAAACATCACAGCCTCGGTGTACTTCTCCTCCTGCTCCATATACACGTCCATATGCCGCATCGCCACTTTGTCGTTAAGCTGCGACATCCAATTATACTCATCCTCCCACGCCTCGCCGTGCAACGTAAAACTCACCGGCTTCTTCGGAGGTTTAGGCGGCGACGGTGGGGCAGGTGGCGGCTGGGCCTTCTGGGGCTTGTAATTGGCGCATTGGAAACACGCACGATGGCGGAGGAGCGGAAGTCGTATGGCTCCGAGCAAATGGCGCATGGTGAAGAGATAATTATTAGCACGTTGGAATTGTTGTCCTCACGAAGTGCCGTCGCTCACCGCGTCGAATCGACCTTCAGTCAGGAATGAGGATGAGGAAGGAAAATCTGAAGGAGACGAAAACGAGGTCGACGAAGATGAAGATGAGGAGATGACAGAACTACAGACGAAGACGACGACTGCCGGCGGCGCAGGGCTGTAGGGTGTTTGAAATCAGGAAATAGAAATGGAAATGGAAATGAAAATGAAAAGGAGGGTGTATTTTTGGGTTAAAAAAAAAAAAAGAGCAGAAGCTAAAAAAAAAAAAAAAATTAGTGTAATTTTTATTTTTTATTTTTTTTACTGGAAATTGTCATTTTATTTTTTTACTAGAATTATACACTTTAATTTCATTTTAAAATTTTAAATTTTTTAATTTAATTAGACTAATTAGTTATTTTAATTTTAATTTATAATTATTTTTATTATACAATAATTATTTTCACTTGTACATTCTTAATTATTTACTAATTATATCTCTTTCTAAATTTTTATTACCACTACTTTTTATACTATAATTTTAAAAAAAAATATATATTATTTTTTAATATACTGCAAAACCCCAAAAGGCCCATTCGGACCTGAAAGGGGGAGTATAATTTATACTATGAAATAAAATTACTATATATAACTACATTTCACTCTAGCTATTTCATAAATAGCCTAATTTGCAGGTATTAAGTTCGATCGAGAGTTTACTCAAAACATACTCGTCGAATAGCAGTTGCAGATTCCATCAACGCTGATTTATTATCATCAAACAATACACATAGAGGGAGATCGAGTTCCATTTCCAAATTACAAACAAACAAACATAAAATCAAAACCACAACAGCAAGAAGAACCAATTCTCACAGCCTGGAAGAACCCACAGGATGATACACAACAATATTGTTATAAGCATCCAGCGTAAGAAAATCATCCAAACTCGCCGCCATGCAGAGTCTCGTGAAGATCCTACAACCCTCCCTATACATTCCCTTCTCGAACTTCTCCTTCCCGACTTCCTTCTCGATCCTCGCCATTTCCTCCTCGACCGCCCGCCCGAACAGCTCCGCCGTCACCCGCACCCCGACGCCGTCGCCGTCCAATTCCGCGCCGTATTTCAGCCACTGCCAGATCTGGACCCGGCTTATCTCCGCCGTCGCCGCGTCCTCCATCAGGTTGTAGAGAGGGACCGACCCGGTCCCCGTCAGCCACGCCGCCACATACTGGATCCCGACCCGTGTGTTGAGCCGGAGGCCTTCCATCGTGCGGGCCCCCCGGGGGATCTGCAGCAGGTCGGCCTCGGTTAACGAGTCGGCGTCCTCCCGTCGAACTGATTGGATTAGGTTCGCCTTGTTGCCCAAGTTGTTGGTGAAGATTTCCGTTATTGTCGGGATCAGCCCCGGGTGGGCTGCCCACGTCCCGTCGTGCCCGGCCCGTACTTCTCGTAGTTTGTCTTTCCGTACGAGCTCTAGAGCCGCTTCGTTCGCCTTTGGGTCGTCGCGGATCGGAATCTGAGCGGCCTGAGTATGAAATGAAAGTCGACGGATTTAGAAACGACATAGTTTTTATTTAAATTTAAAATTAGCCTCACTGGAATCGTGGACTATTTAGTTCGATTGAATAGTAAAATGTACGACGGTAAAGATTTATAGATAGAACTATTTTATATATAAATTCAAATGACAAAAATGTCAAAAATCTCGTATATTACTCCCTCCCACCACAAATTAACGTCTTACTTTCTTGTTTCGAATGTCAACAAATATTGTCCTTTTTTTATATACAAAATTTATTTTTTTGTCCTTACTTTATTTACCATTTTTTTCTCTATATACAAAATAAAGAGCAAATTTATCATTTTATATAAAAAAAAAAACTAATTGCCTAAAAATACGTATAAATATCCATTAAGACATTAAAAATGAAAGAAGAATATTATTTTTCAATTTACTATAAAATCTAAAAAATGTACATTCATATGGGACGGACCGAGTATTTTTAACACCCTGTGATTTTAAAAATACTTTCAAGAAACAAACGGTAAGCTTTAATTACGAACTATTTCAAATTCGAACTAATTTAAATCTATTCATTTAAAATTCGCTCAAAATTTCAAATCTATCCAACCAAAAGAGGCCTAAATATCAAAAAATCATAAAAAAAAAAAGATCTAAATTTTCACGTGCGTCGCAATATAGTCGAGTTAATATAGAGATGGCATACATTTTAGGTAGAAAAACATACCATCCCGCCCATGGCGTGCACGCCGCGCTTGTGACATGTCCGAATGAGCAAATCCGAGTAGCTCCTCATGAAGTGCTGAGTCATCCCAACTTGAACCCGGTCGGGAAGTAGGCGATCCGGATGAGCTTGGAAGGTTTTGACATAGCTGAAAATATAATCCCATCTGCCGCAGTTCAAACCGACTGAATGATCTCTTAGCTCATACAAAATCTCGTCCATTTGGAACACGGCAGGGAGAGTTTCGATCAGTACTGTGGCTCGGATACTTCCCTTCTCTATTCCCGCCGTTTTCTCTGCCCTCTCGAACACTTTGTTCCAAATTCTAGCTTCCCTGTTGAAACATATTGCCCCTTGTAAGAACAATCTAGAACAATCTCTTACAAATATATGTTGTGCAGTTTAACGATCTAACACAAAAATAATGTGTACTTTTGACTTTTAAGAAAAATAGGAAAATAGTAAAAAGTGATATAAAAAAAAAAATGAGCTATTTTTTAATGACAGAAAACGAGAAAAGAAAATATAGATAAAATAGATGAAGTGTTAGTTTTTTTCAATTTTCATACTATAAATCCTTACAATTTCCTATAAAAATATATTGTCGCTATCCCTATTTATAAAACATCACATCCAATTATTGTTTAAATCAAAATCCAAAATCAATATACAAAACTAGCTAGAAAACCAACGACACCCAAAACAACAGTAGTAAACAAATGATCGATCCTTAGTAACATTTACCTCGAGTGTTCCATTTTAGGGAGATAGAAGAAGGGTCCAAAGCCTTCGCCCTGAGTTCGGCGAAAAGTAGACCAATTGTGAAAAAAGTAGAGGCCAAAGTCCACGAGGCAGCCGGTGGCGGGCTCGCCATCAATGAAGATGTGAGCCTCGGGCAAATGCCATCCCCGGGGACGGACAAAGAGCTTTGCCGTGTGTTCATTAAGCTTATAAACGCGATTCCGGGCTTTGTCATGGAAGCTTATTGTCCCATTCACAGCATCCTTTAAATTCACTTGCCCTCTCATGAGATTCTCCCAGCTTGGTGACAATGCATCCTCAAAATCAGCCTAAATATATACATACATAGGAATTTTTTTATCAATAAAGATGACACAATCTAGACCAAACCAAAGAAAGCAAAATAAATCAGAACAAATCACATAAAGTCCTACAAGATCTTTAATTGAATTTCATAGGAAAGTAAGCCTAGATGAAGAAAACTAAGGGTGTGTTTGTTATGGATGGTTTTTTTTTTTTTTTCTATTATTCACAAATTTTTCCCCTAAAAATAAATGAAATAGTTAACCTTTTTTTTTTATCTTTTATATTAAAATAAAAATCAATTTTATATTTAAAAGATTATATTAATTTTTATTTATAACACATCAAATAATTATTTAAATTCAAATTTTTACTATTAAAATCAAAATCCAAGCAAATACTTTGTTGGAACAATTTGGACAATTTCTACTATTTATACAAAATTTTCCTCTAAAAATATTAAATAAAACATTTATTTTTCATTTGTTATGTTATACTAAAAATCAATTTTTTAGTGTTCAAAATATTACATCGATACTTATTTATATCACATCGTACAATTAATTATTCAAATTCAAAACTTTAACTATTCATATTTTAACCCAAAACCCAACCCCTAAGCAAACACACCCTAAAAAATAGTTAAGAAGGTAAAAATAACCCTAATAAGAGATTTTACAAAGTAAAAACCCTTATTAGAACTAACATGAGCTTTAGAACAAAATCATTGCTTGGGAAGTAGCATAAATAGTTTGTACAAATATTCGTTAATTTTTTATTTTACATTATTTATTAATATAAACAGCATTTTTTTTTTTAAAGCATCAAATATATATTACTTTTAACCTTTTTTTTTTTTAATTTCAAAATTTTTATCTACACCGAGATGTTACTTTGAAAATTTTATTAGGATGATGATGTATATCAAGAAGATGATAGATATTATCTATGTGATAGAGATGCAACAAAAACAGCTAAAAAAGGATGTCATTTGTGTTTGTTTAGGGATTTGAATTTTGAATTGGGATTTGAATAGTAAAAATTTTGAATTTAAATAGTAAAAGCAGCCAAAATATATAATTTTATTTTATAAAATATCAAATCAAATATCAATTTTTCTTTTTCAAAATTGTAAATTTTTTTACATAATTGTTATTAGAGAAAAAAAAAAAAAACATAAACACACAAAACACAGAAAATGATGGTGACACAAAGAAAATCAAGAAAAAGTACTTAAAAGACAATAGACAATAGGCATGTTTATTTTCCCGGTTTGAGTACAAAGTTTGATTGTTTTTATTTAAATAATAATAAATTTAATATTTAGATTAAAAATTATAGTAGTATATTTTTTCTATGCCAAATTTATTTTATTTTATTTTTTGATCTTTTAAATTTATCAGATTTTTTAATTTTATAATATATATAATTCTAAGATTTAATTGTATTATTTCCTTAAAATTTATTTACAATTATGTCACAGTTATTTTTATATTTTTATCACTTTCTCAATTTATGTTACTTAATTATAGTACCTACCCAAAATGGTTAAATACAGTGGTAGGAGGGAGACTATTTTAAAATTATTTTTATTAATATATTTTTAATTATTTATTAATTAATTATATTTTTTAAAATTTTATGTTCGACATCGTAGTTGAAACGGTGGAATAATTTTTACATATACTTCAAATTTACTTTTATTTTTTATAATAAATGGGTTAAATTTACCCTATTACTAATTTTAATTTTCGTAAAATTAATAAATTAAAATTTAATTATTATCTTGCATTTAATTTTTATTTACTTTTCAAAAATACGATTAACTATTTTTTTTTAATTTTATTTTAATAAAATATTTATTTCTTTGACTCAAATATTCTAATTTTTTCTACCAAAGCAGTAAATTTTTCCAATGCCCAAAGTTAAAATGCTAAGAAATTGGAATAAAAGTTTGAAAGAAGTGATAAAAAGTAGCCTGACCGACCATGAAAACTTTGGCCCCAGAATTGAGGGCGTTGATGATCATTTTCCGCTCGACCGGGCCGGTAATCTCCACCCTCCGGTCCGCCACCGCGGGCGGCGGCGGCGCGCAGAGCCAATCCCCATCTCTGACGCACTTGGTCGCGGGATCGAACCCCGGCAAAGCCCCGGAATTGTACCTGATCTTGGCCTCCTTCCGGCACTCCATGGCGTATCTAATATGGGCGCGGAACTCCCTCTGAAGGGCCGCCAGAAAGCGCAGAGCGTCGATGGTGAGAATGTTGGCGAACTCGGAGTCATATCTGCCTCTAATGTCGACTCCTTCAGGCACGTCGTAGCCCACAGCTGCTCCAGGCTGCTTCTTCTCCTTCATTGGGGTTTCCAGAAAAGGTTCGAATCCCACCATTGTTGTTGTTGTTGTTAATTGTTCTGGGAATTAGAGATTGATTGAGAATTTTGTGGGTATCGATCATGGAGGTCGATATATATATATATATATATAGATAGATAGATAGATACAGAGATAGATAGAGAGGGGATGGGGATTGAATTGAACAGTGATGGCGATGAAGATGGAGATGAAGATGAGGATGAGAAGGGATATGGGCGTCGGTGTTGGAAGACGTGCCATACTTTCTCAGGGTGTGTTGGTTTTAGGTCTCGATTTTGGGTTAGATTTGAATCGTAAAATAGCATGTTTGTAATGAAATTTTGTTTGTAAAGATAATATAGTTAACTTAATTTTATTATTGGTTTTATCTCTAATGTCATTAATAATTAAAAAAATAAATTTACGGACAAAAATTTTTTGTTATAAATATAATTTTTTATTATAGTGAAATTTAAATTTGAATAATTGATATAAATAAATATTGATGTGATATGTTGAATGTAAAATTAATTTTTTTCTATTATAAAATATAAAAACTAATTATTTAATTTGATACTTCGTCCTATGATAAAGTATCAATTTTTTCATTTTAGTCCCTTCTATAAAAAAAAAAAATATCAATTTTTTTTTAGTAACTGTATTATCTGCCTAACATTACAAATATCCTTACAATTTACAATATATTACACAAATGTCATTACCTTTATATCACACGTACTAATAAAGTTAGTTTAGTCATTTCTATTTTATTTCTGCTGTATCTTAATATAATACTAATATTTCTAAAACTACGTGGAAAAAACAAATGGATATTTAGTTGCAATATGAAAAAATGTTTATGAATAATGTAATCATTGGGAGATGCAGCAAAAGCTTAAGCTTAATTTGGGATTGGGATCGTTTCACTAACAGTGGATTTGCTCAATGTCTTGCGTCGATGTATTTGGCTCTGTCAGGCGAATTGGGAGTAGATGTGGCAATTTCAATTACAGATTCAAACTTTATTTCAAACGATTGGTTTATTATTTTTTTATGTTATTATTATTATTTTTTTATAATTAAATTATTTAGTTATTTTAATTTTAATTTATAATTATTTTTAATAATATATTTTTTAATTATTTAAATGGACACAATACTATTGTTAATATATAAAACTTACGTTTTCTACAAGGCTAAACATCAATCCCTGTAGTGTAGTGTCACTTGGCTCTTATCTACGGTGCATGCCTGGGTTCGAAACCCATTGCTGGCGGTGAAGATATCTGCGCCCGCTGCGGTAGGGTCTACCGCACACTTCTGACCGTTGAAGAAGTATGTAAAGGCGTTGCTGAGCTAGCTTTCTATATTTTTTGTTTTTTTATTTCTTACTCTTTCTTATATATTTTATTTTATTTTTATTTTTTATGTAAAGAGTTTCATGGACTTTTCCAAAAAAAACAGTGTTGTTATATATGAAAATACTATTACTAATAATAATATATATTGTAATATATGTATTGATATATATATATATATATATATGATCTAGAGAGAGATCAAGAGACAAGAGAGAGAAAGAGCAATCAAATCATATATTTCATTCCACCAAATTAGCATACTTATATGAATATTACAATTAGATGAGTCATCACATAAATGACTTGGCAAAGGCAACAAATGACACCTATAAAAACGCAATGAGTCATAACACTCCTCCTTAGGTGTCATTAATTGCAATGAATACGCATCGTTAAAATCTTAATAGGAAAAAATTCAACGGGACAAAAATCCTAGTCAAGGAAAAAGAGTACATCATTCATGCATTAAAAATATTTTCCCTGATGTGGACTTCACTTGAAATATCGCTCTCCCTGATGTGGACATCATTTGAAATCTTGCAACCGACGCATCCCGATGATCTTTACCAATTTCTCGAACATTGCGGTCGATAAAGCCTTGGTCAACAAGTCTGCTAAATTTTGGTCTGATCGAATTTGCTGCACATTTACTTCACCAATTTTCTGGAATCATGAGTAAAGAAAAATTTCGGTGAAATATGTTTCGTTCTATCTCCCTTGATATATCCTTCTTTCAGTTGCGTTATACAAGCTGCATTTTCTTCGTACAAAATAGTAGGAGGATTTTCATTTTCAGATTTCAAACCACAATTCTGTAAAATGTGGTGAATCATTGAACTTAGCCAAACACACTCTCTACTTGCTTCATGAATTGCTATTATTTCTGCATGATTTGAAGATGTGGTGGTTAATGTTTGTTTAGTGGATCTCCAAGATACCACTGTACCGCCACAAATAAATTTACAACAAATGTTATATCTGGTCTAGTACTGTTAGCCAGATACATTAGTGCACCAATAGCACTTAAATATGGTACTTCAGGACCAAGTTTTTCATCATTCTCCTCTTTTGGTCTAAAAGGATCTTTAATAGGATCGAGAGTTCTAACGACCATTGGAGTACTCAATGAATGTGTTTTATCCATTGTAAATCGTTTCAATACCTTTTGGGTATATACATGTTGATGTATCAAAATCCCATTTTCCAAATGTTCAATTTGTAGACCAAGACAAAATTTCGTTCTCCCAAAATCTTTAATTTCAAATTTTCTTTCCAAATATTCAATAGCTTTTTGGTTTCAATTAAATTCAAGTCATCCACATAAACAACTATTATTACAAAATTTCTCCCATATTTCTTTATAAAAACACACGGACAAGTAGAATCATTGGCATATCCCTCTTTCAATAATGATCCACTGAGACGATTATACCACATGCGACCAGATTGCTTGAGCCCATATAAAGACTTTTGTAATTTAATAGAATAACATTCTTTTGACTTTGATTTATATGCATCAGACATACTAAATCCTTCAGGAACTTTTATGTAAATATCACTATCCAATGAACCATATAAATATGCAGTTACAACGTCCATTAGACGCATATCCAAATTTTCATGTACAACCAAACTGACAAGATATCGAAATGTTATTCCATCAATTACCGGAGAATATGTTTCATTAAAATCAACTCCAGGTCTTTGTGAAAAACCTTGGGCAATAAGTCTTACTTTATATCTGGCAATTTCATTATTCTCATTTCGCTTTCTAACAAATACTTATTTATAGCCGATAGGCTTAACACCTTCAGGTGTTTGAACAATGGGTCCAAAAAATTTTCTTTTTGCCAGTGAATTTAATTCAGACTGGATCGCATGTTTCCATTTTGGCCAATCTATTCTTTTCCGACATTCATCAACTGATCCAAGTTCTAGATCCTCGTCATTTTCCATTAGATCAAGTGCTACACTATATGTAAAAGCATTATCCATAATTGTATCATTTCGGTTTCAATGCTTTCCAGTAGTAACATAATTTATTGAATTTTCAATAATTTCATTCTCTTCAGAAGGAATTCTTTTAAGATTAACATCCTCATCAAGTTTATCAGGATCAATTTCTTTAGAAATTTGATCCATGTTACTACTTGTTTCTCGAGAATTCAAATCCTTAACCCTTTCATTTGTTCATCTTTTTTTTTTCAATGATTTTATCTTTGGAACCTACAGGTCTATCACGCTTTAGCCGTGCATTTGATTCATTAGCACTTTGTATTTTTTCTTTAAGAATAACAATTTTAGCATGTATAGTTTTAGCAGCTATATAAGATCTAGTGACCCTGCTGGCGTTACAAAAAGCATCAGGCAACTGATTTGCTATTCACTGCAAATGTAAAATTCTTTGTACCTCTATTCACTTTGACTTGTACGAGGATCAAGAAAATTGAATGGTATTTTCCAAGTAATTTCATTTTTCAGTTGATCAGTTTCTCCCCCTAATGTCGGGAAATGCGACTCGTCAAAATGACAATCAGTAAAACGAGCCGTAAACAAATCATCAGTTAATGGTTCAAGATATTTAATGATAGATGGTGATTCGTACCCGATATATATCCCCAATCTCAGTTGGGACCCATTTTTTTACATTGGGGCAGTGCAATTGACACATAAACTGCGCACCCAAAAGTTCTCAAATGTGAAATATTGAGCTTTTCATTGTACATTAATTGTACTGGGGAGTAACTATGATAGCTTATCGGTCGTAATTTGATCAGTGTTGCTGCATGCATAATTGCATATCCCCAAGCAGAGATAGGAAGTTTGGATTTCATCAACATAGGTTTTGCAATTAATTACAGCCCTTTTATAAGTGATTCAGCTAGACCATTTTGAGTATGTGCATGAAGTACATGATGTTTAATGTCAATTCCAATAGACATGCAATAATCATCAAATGTCTTAGATGAAAATTCTCCAGCATTATCAAGACGAATTTTCTTTATTGGGTGATCTGGAAACTGAGCTTGTAATCTAATTATTTGAGCAAGCAACCTCGCAAATGCCAAATTGCGGGTGGATAATAAATACACATGTGACCATCTAGTAGATGCATCGATAAGTACCATAAAATATTGAAATGGTCCGCATTGTGGATCTACATGCCCACATATATCACCCTGAATTCGTTCTAAAAATGAAGGGGATTCAGTTCCCACTTTTGCTGGTGATGGTCTAGTTATTAACTTCCCTTTTGAGCAAACAACACATATAAACTCATTTGTATTTAATATCCTTTGATATTTCAAGTTATGGCCATTGGTATTTTCAATAATTTGTCTCATCATAGTATTACCGGAATGCCCAAACCGGTCATGCCAAATCATAAAATCTGTAGACTTCTGGTCTACCAGATATGTTTTAACCACATTAATTTTTGTGCAATATAATTCGGAAGACAATGAAGACAATTTTTCTAATATCTATTTATGTCCATCAATAAATTTTGTAATCAACAAAAATTCATTATTTACCTCACTTGATGTCTCAATATGATATCCATTTATGCGAATATTATTAAAACTCAACAAATTTCTTTGAGATTTAATAGAATATAGTGCATTTTGGATATCAAGTTTTACTCCTTCGGGGAGAAATATTATCGCTCTTCCAGAGCCCTCAATTAACTTCGCACAACCACTTATATTATTCACCTCAAATTTTTCCAACTTCAGGTTGGTAAAA